TCACCCTGCTGCCCGGTCTCTGGGAAATATGCTAACAGCTTATCGCTGCAGCCTTTGAACTCCCAGGGCAAGTGGAGCCCAGAATTCCATAGCCCTGATGTGATGTCAGTGGGTCCCACTGCATATGAGGGATACAAATAATCTTGGCTTTAATATTTCTATTGATCTGCATGGATTAAGAAGAGATTTTTATCACAAAATCTTACAGAATCAAATCCTACTCCAAGAGTCCATTCAGTTTACTCTTATGAATACCTAGTGTCTGATATAGAAATGGCTCCTGACTTTTCATACACCACAATAACAAAATATTTTAGCTCAGTAGGGACCCAACAAGTTAAAACAAATCTTTAAAAATAATGTGTTTCCATATATCCTATTTTTCAGCAAGCAAAACAGAAGCTAAGTAAAAATAACAAGCCTCTTCTTGTGGAAAAAATTTTGAAGTCCTTCATACTGGGAAATCTTGTATTTTTAAGGAAAGGATAGCCAAAGGTCTGGTTTGGCATAATGAATAAAGTTGCAAGTTAAGAAGTAGAAACATGAGTATTTCCCCATTTGCAAAAGAGATGTCTATGGCATGTGGTAAGGTGTCCCTGTTATAAGGTTCATGAAGCTTATAAGGCACGTGACTCCAACTAGAAAGGACCCTGAGGGATAAGGACACATTTAAATGTACACACTGGTCAAATATTTTAAAATATTTATATTAAACTTGGCATGTTTGACACAATTGAAATTTGAACTTTGCTATGTGGATTCCTAGTAAGAGTGAGGGTTTTTCTCTCCTGTTCTGGTTTGTGTCCATGTTGGATTTTTATTTTTCCTTTGGGAGGGATAGGCTGTTGGAGGGGGAGAAAGTAAAAAAGAGATTGCAATAGTGCACAAGATTTCTCTAAATAAATGCAAGGTGTGGTCTTTGTTGTTGTTCCCATCAGATGGTGAACTTCTTGGCTGCATAATAATCCTGTTCATATTGTCATTTTATGACAATTTCATGGTACCATTGTGTGCCAGGTGTTTGCCCTTTATAGATTTAGATATTCTTTCTCAATCAGACAACTGAGGTGAATAAATATGTACAAGTTGCTATAATTTTGGAAATCTGCTCTTAGCCCATCAGTGTTTGGACCACTTTTAGTGGGTCTTCACTGGGGATACTGTACTGAGCCAGGACACAGGCATAAACATTAACCCTGGCACTGCAAATTTGTTGGCTCATACCGTACTGGAATTTATGAGGTCTCTACATAGAATTAAGACTCCAGTAGTGATTTAAACCAGATTAATCACACTGGCTGGATTGGTTTAGTTCAGTCTGGTCTTAATTTGGTGAGAGGTACATTCACCAGCAATTAAAATAAATGCAAAATATTTATTATTCTCTGACAGACAAAACTAGTAAATATAACATAATTTAATTGTTTAATTATTCAGTTTTCATCAACTCTTCAATATTTAAAATACATTTTGCAGTAAGGATGCCAGAGCCTATTTTAAAATATAAACAGATGGTCCCTGACTTATGAAGGTTCAACTTACTATTTTTTGACTTTACGATGGTGCAAAACCATACGTATTTGGTAGAAACCATACTTAGAATTTGGACTTTTGATCTTTTTCTGGGATAATGATATACAGGATGATACTCTCTCGTGATATCTGGCAGTGGCGGCCAGCCGCAGCTCCCAGGCAACCAGGCTGTCTTAAGGGTAAAGAACTGATACACTTACAACCATTCTGGTTTTCACTTTCAGCACAGTAGTCAAGAACTTACATGAGATATTCAACTTTATTTTAAAATAGGCTTTGTGCTGGGTAAATTTGCCTAACTGTAGGCTAATGTAAGCCTTCTGAGCGTGTTTAAGAAAGGCTAAGATAAACTAGGATGTTTGGCAGGATGGGAGCATTAAATGCATTTTTTAATTATGACATTTTTCACTTAAAATGGGTATATAGGGATGTAACCCCATAAGTGGAGGAAGATCCATAAGTAACATAAAGCAGTTTGTATTGTATTGCCATTTAAAAGTTAAAAGTTTTCATTAAATATATTTTAAATTACCACATCTGGAAATAAAGTTTACCCACAAGTATCAGTAATTCTGTAAGCTAAAATATTCTCTTTGGTATTTCCCAGAACATCCAGCATGGAGATTGGCCAGTATTTACATAGAGCTGTTGGTTTATAATTAATGTAGATTTTAGGTCCCATATCTCTCAACTATTGCTACAATAATGCTGTGTAGCAAACCACCCCAAAACTTGGTGACTTAAAGCAACAATCACTTATTCTTGTTCATCACTAAGTTATTTTCCAAGCTCATCTCATTATAGTAGGACCTGATCTAATACAGCTCGTAACAATTAGCACATTTTCAACTTCCTGCCTTAAAATCTCCTCCTCCAATGCTGGAAATTCAGTAAGTACTTCTTTTATTTCTTTGGAGTTCTCAGGGGTTACAGTTTTAACACATATTTTGCCACCACACAACATTTTTTCTGGACTCTTTCCTAAGTTTCTTTGCTCTCTGCCACCTGATCCCAAAGCTGATGCCCCATATTTTAAGTACTGGTTATGGCAGCACCCCATTTTGAGGTATAAATTTCTGCGTTAGTCAATATTGCTAAAAAATACCATTTAGCAAATCACTCCACAATCCAGTGGCTTAAAAATAAGAATCATTTAGTCTTTTGTATGTTTATAGGTCAACTAGGGCTTGACTGACTAGACTGGGCTCAGCTGGGTTGGCCCCAAGCTGTGGGTTGGGTCTGAGATGATTCCAGTCTCTACTGCACAGTAAGCTCAGATCTACTTCATGCGTGGTCATTCTGGGGTCCAGCCTGCAGCTGCAAGAGCTATTCTATTCAGGGACAACTTTTCTCATGGTAATTGCAGAAGTGCAGAAGGCATACTTCAGTCCTCTGCTTGTATCACATCTGCTAACATTTTTTGATCAAAGCAAAGCACATGGTTGAGGGTTAGGTAAGGACACTTTGTCCACCCCAAGATCATGGCAAAGTGTAGGTGTATGTTATCACTAGAGGGAACTAAACAATTTTGAATCAGTAATTCAATCTACCAGTGGAACTTCTTTCGAAATTTCCCTGAAATAATCCCAGTAACACTATTCTACCAAAGATTATGGAAAGTAATAATGTATTTTTCAGTTCCACATTCAGTGTTCTTATTGTATTCTCTAAAATATTATGCCAATAATAATAATAATAAACTAATAATAAACCACTTTAATAATCTTATAATTAGCCTGATCAAATAGTTGAAAAGATGAAAAGATTACTAAAACAAATGAAGCATCCATTTGTGCATTTCATAAACCTTAACAATTTTTTTAGGAATTAATGAAATAATATCCAAAGAAAATCATTAGATCTGACTGTGCTTTCTAACTTATTTTGAGAAATTCTTTTCAATACAATACCATTAGGAAATAATTTTTATTAATTCCTTCTCTCAAAAACACCTGGCAGTGTTTACATTAATATAAGAAGCTTATATTAGTGATAAGCTTCTTGTCTGCCATCTAATTCTTTATCTTGTCATAACCTGCCTCCATTCTGTTGGGTCCTTAATGGTGAATGGGTAGGGACAGTGGACAGTTGTCAACAGCCCAAAATCACATTGTTTGAAGGGGACTAAGATACTCAGTTCAAATCCATGCTTCAGTCATTGTCCAAGGGGTCTAAATGCATGGGCAGAAGCAAAACAATGGGAAGCTTTGGGCAGAATTTAACTATAGGGATTAAAGGCAGTTTTGTTCCTAGGTGCAGATGGAGTGTGTCCACATTGGTGTTGCTGGTCACAGAGGTGTAGGACCATTTTCCAGTAATCCTGAGAGAGGAGGCTGATTTGGCCATGTTGTCCAGGTACAGAGCAGGAGGAAAAACTTCAGATCTCATTTATTGATATGGAAGAATGTTCTAAGAGTCTGCCATCTTGCTAAGGATTGGCTTAAAATCTAGTCCTATGTAATAATCTGACTGGTTTTTCCCCCTGGTTCCTCAGAGTTAGCCTATAAATCTCTGGGATTTTCAGAGTGATAGGAGTGTCTTTGTTATTAATAGTGGGTCCCTAAATAGTTTGTAGTAATGAGATGACTCAAGATGGAGGCTGACCACACCATAAAGACCAACCATGTAAGGAGAGGGTTGGAGCTTTCAGTCACTAGATATTAACTGGAACTCCAGGCATGGGGGAGTGGCTGGAGATTGAGTTCAGTTGCATAACCAATAAACCAATTATCCAATCACTCTCATTTAATGAAATCCCAATAAAACTCTACTAAACCCCAAGGTTTTGGGGAGCTTCCCTGTTGGCAATATTCTGTGCATGTTGTTATACACTGATGCTGGGAGAGTAATACAGACTGACTCCTCAGGAGGTGACACTGAAAGCTTCATGTTTGGGACCCACTCAGACCTCACACTATGCACCTCTTCTTTTGTCTGGTTCTGATTTTTATATCCTTTAGCTATAATGATACAGTTATAAATACAATGCTTTCCTAAGTTCTATGAGTTATTCTAGACAATTATTAAAACTGAAGGGATAGTGGGAACTCCAAATTTGTAGTCAGTTGGCCAGGAGTGAGGTTAACCCTGGAAAGCCCAGAGCTGTAGTCTAACTCCAGGTAGTCAGCATCAGAAATATTGCAAGCAGTCAGAGCAGAGCATGCACTTGCAGTAACTGCCCCTGGAATGAGAATAGACTGAGATAGCCAACATGGATTGGGATGACAGGGAAATCATCTTGTCTCCTTGAGGTAACAAGAATTTTACCCTACTTTCTACACATACTGTGTGTATGTATGCAGTCAAGACTTCCTGTTAAATCATGTTCAAAGAAAATGTTCAAAGAATCAAATAATCATTTGTTAATAAATATTGCAAGTATAATTATTATTACTTTAACTTTTATATCTTTCAAATGTTTGAAGAAAAAAACAGTTGCACACTGTATAGGGTTGTGACATCATTTATCTGTTTTTACTTTGTCTGTTCCCATTATTCTGTGCCATGGGAGTTAAAAGTCTGGAAACTACATTTCCCGGCCACACCTACTCCCCTCCCAGCTGGCTTCCTGTAATGTTCTGGCAATGAGAGGTGGTAGAAAGTTAGAAAGTGAAAAAAAAAGATGTTTCCTTCTTCTTTTCTCTTTTAGGCTGTAACTCTGGCAGTGGCAGAAACAGCAGCAGTATGGACTCTAGGTATCCTCTTGGGTTCCTGTTTGCAGGGACTGAGGCAGGAGGTGCTTCAGCTACTCCTCTAGCACAGCGCTCCTGGGCTCTGGGTCCGGCAGTGAGAGCTACAGGCTTTAAGATTTTGCAGTGTTATTTGCTATATGAACTCTTGGTTTCCTTCAGCATTTTCCAGGGTTAGCAGCGATCTCAGCTTCAGCTACACACTGGTCATGGGATCTGGGTGGTTTTCCTTCCTCTATCCTAGGAATGAGAGCAGTTTTGTATAGTTATTAATATCCGGGTTACTTCACCTCCTCCTTTTGCTCTTCCAGTCATTCTGGCATTTTGCATCCAATTTCTTACTACATTTCTCTGTTTGAAATATTAATATTCTCCTGACCAGACACAGACTGATATAGAGGGGAAGTACTATATTCTTGAAAATTTTGTCTTATGGAATTTCTAAAAATAAAAAATATTTTATGTAAATAAGAAATCTCTTTAGAAGAAAAAAACCCCAAATTCTTCTGAAAGTGATATACCTACTTCTAATTTAAGTATTCATCAAATAAATCATCTGTCATATAAAATTTTATTTTTTATACTGTTTTTTCTCTTAATAGCTGGTTGAACCTATAATTTTATTTCTAATTTATTCTTCCCTCAAATAACTTGAAAGTTATTTTCATGATTTCAAAGCAAAATATATTATGATACTGTAAATAAACATACTATTGTTAAATTTAAGAACTGTCACAATCATCCTGAGTGCCTAGGATTGGTCTATTTTACCTGCTTAATTTTAGAGTTCCAATCGATACCATAAAAACTGAGCTGGGCTTTGGACAGAAGGACTAAGAAATCAATTTTCCTAAACAATGATACACTATTGAAAAAAATGATGGGGATTTAATTATACAGGTAATTATTTAGCTCTTATATTTCTAATTAGCAATGGCCTTCACATTAAAATTGCTTCTGCAGATGGGTCCAAAATGGTGCCAGCTGAAATCTGAAGCTTTCCATGGATTTTCATACTAGAAATCTTCAAGAATGCTTTTGAAACAACGAGCAGAAAACCCTGATCACATCCAGGTAAATGACAGTTATTTTAAGCAAATAATGCATATTCCAGGTGATCATTATGAGACTGATTAACTGTCCTATGTGTCTGTAGGTGGGCCAAAGCAAAAGTGAGAATGATGTTTTGATGGCTGTCATAGCTCTGGCTGCTGTAACAAAATATCATAGAGTGGGTGGCTCATGGGCAACTCTTGGCGAGGACCTTCTCTCTGCCTTCTTGCTATATCCTCACATGGTGAAGGGAGAGCAAGTGCTGGTCTCTTTCTAGTCTTACAAGGACAATAATCTCATCACAGGGGCTCTACTCTCATGATCTCATAAACCTAATTACTTCCCAAAGGTACATTCCTCAATAGATTCACAATGGGGGATAGGGATTCAACATATCAATTAGGAGGGGACACAAACATTCAACCCATAAAAATAAAAAAGCTCAATTCATAGATTTTAAACAAGGGAATCATAGCTTAATAAAATGCAATAAATAAGGAAAAGAATTCCAGAATGATTTTCATAGCTGTTGGAAAGTAGTATCCCATACCTTTTATGTTCTACTTTACAGCCTTAGTCTTCCTAAAATAATAAACTAGAAATTGTCATTTGATCTCAGTGTCAGTAAATCTTGTTCAAAATTTAAGTTGTTTTAAGTTATGGGAGCATTTCTTATAGCTTGTTTCTATTTTGCAATTGATATTCTAATTGTGAACAAGTTACATTTACAAAGCATCATAACATCCAGATGAAAATACTAAACAAATCTTTTCTGGAGAACCATTTATCTACTTCTATATATCCAAATGTTTGTCTCATCACATAAATAACACAGCTATCTGGTAACACGTGGACACAGCATATTCCTCACTTTTCCTTTAACCTCAGTTTTCTCATCTACAGTGTTTGAGTTTGTTTGGCATTTATCAGTAAAATAAGACCAAAATATACAAATTATTTTGAAGTTTGGGGAAGAAAGTTAAAATACAAGTTGCCACCACAATATCATCATCTTTAGAAGTGTGATTTTTATTTTTAAAAAGAAAAATATTTTTAAATGCTTGAATAGTGAGCTATATTCATACCATTAGTCCAATAACCCTATACCTGCTAATTCACATGAATAAAAAAGTAAACTGAAACATATTCTATATGTATGAAAACTTCCTTTGTCTTCTACTAGTAAAGAAATTGGCAAAAATCTAAATGTTTAAATTAGATATGATTTGGTAAATTAAGCATGTAGCAGAATGATTATTGTTTAATTATGATGACTAGGTAAAAATAAAGAAAAGTGGATTTGATATAATGAGAAAAGGAAAACCAGAATACACATATTATACAAAACCAGATAGCAAATACAAAACAGACATACACATTTTGTCAGGTTAATATGCAAAATGAAAATAAGATTTATGATAATTATGTTTTTGTTTTCAAAATATTGTTTTGTTCATAATGTATTTCAATTTAAAATTAAATGTTTTCATGTTGAAATTCTCCACTTGAAAAGGCATCAAAGTTATGGGGAAGGGACAGGAAACCAGAGAGGACTTTAAAGTTTGTTGTTAGTATTGGAATAAGTCTACAAAACCCAAATATCTTTTTTTGACTAGGCTTAAATAGCAAAATTTAGGGAAAACATGTTAGGATTGAGATCAGTAAAAAAGACCCTTTCTTCTTATCTCATGTTTGTAACTAGTTGAGAATAAAGGCATAGAAGGTAGGTAAATGGAGATAAAATTATTGGTATGGTTACAGAAAATTTGCCTGGAGGAAGTGGCTTTAGTCTTTGGCCAGAAAGCCTTGCTTCTTCCTAACGCTCTGAATTCCTTGGTACAGACTCCCTGAAGCTGACCACTGAAGACAAAGTCAGGAGAGATGTTCTTGCTAGGATTACAGCCTACACCCATATAAAAATTGAGGAGGAAGAGCCTGGAGCTGTTTCCTGGAGCCCCATACACGGTGAGATGCGGACCAACCACCACCAGCGCAGCTTCCTTCTCCTCCTCTGCCTTCTCAGACATCAGGTTCCATCAGATGACAAACGAGCATTCTACAAATTTTGTTTTATTGTAACATTAGGAGTGAAGTCATGAAAGACAAGAATGCCAGGAAGAGTTTTTCTCTGAAGATTTTACACAATTTTTCAGAGAAAGAAAAATGTCTTTAAAATGTTTCGGTTTATACAGGGGTGGGTGGGACTAGAGTGATACGACTTAGGCATTTGCCTTTCTAGCTAAATTTAAAGGGTTGCCAAAAAACTCAGCAAGCAATATAAATAATCTTTTAATGCAGTGTTTTTTTTAAAAAAAATCACAGTTACTACAAAAAACCCGTGATGAATAAAATATCAAAATGTTAAGTAAAGACAGGATCAGTATTACCTATTTCTTTTGCCTCAGGCTCCAGTATGGTTTGGCATGTCACTGATTTGTTGACTATAATTAATGTATTTTAAGAGAGTATTTTTCAAGCTCTTTTTTTTTTGTATTTAGGGAATTCCAATTCTGGAGTTAAGATCTGAGAAGACAAAAAAGTGTCTAAAAACTCTGAAGATCCAAGATTGCTTATAAAAATCTACTTGGTTAGTCATTTTCATTAGCAAGAGTTGTAAGCCAAAGCCAATACTCTTATGAATCCAATGCTAAGAAATATTTTTAGTCTCAGAATTTTGGAGCCAAGTATTTTTGCAAGACCAAATGCTTCTCAAAGGCCTGTAGAGCATCCAACATTATTCAACAAAAATGTATTGAGTACCTGCTGAATACCATGAGATTACATCACTGTTTGCTTAGGCTTCAAAAATGCACTTTGAGTCTAGTGCTACTGTATCACAACAGAACCTTGGAGGATAAAATAGGAAAGTAGTTTTCTTCTCTTATCAGCCTCTCCAGCACTGTGTTTAGCAGCGGTCTCTAACAGTGGTCTGTCCTCCTTTACAAGATGGGAACAATTTACCAGATCACTTCTATATGCCAAAGAAGTTCTTGGGGTCTTAAAGTCTAGAAAGTGTTTTTTTTGTGTGGGGAAATCCAATCTGGGGTCTGCCTGCTGGCTAGGAGAGACCTCAACCTCTCGAGGGGGTTCTTGATTCTGGCTGACAAAGAATTCAAGAGCAGGTCGGGCAGATGCAAGCAAGCAGCAGTTTATTAAAGGGAAAGTACACACTCAAGGAGGGAGTGTGGGCATGCTCGAGATGTGAGCAGCACTAGGGCATTTGAGTTGGGTCTCTTATAAGGGATCTAATCTGTTATGGGCTGGAATGTCCTTGGAATATTCATGGGTCCAGAGGTAGGTAATTTGCCTAATGGGCAGGGTTGAACATGCCTAGTGAGGGAAAGAGAAAATGTTTCTTTTTTAGAGGAAATTGACTTGGTAGGCAGATCATAAAGACTTCAGTTTGGTATGTTCAGGTCTGCAAGTATCCTGTTGTTTTACACCTGTCGTTTTGAACCCTGAGCATCCTGTACTTTGTAAGCACCTGTTATCCCGTACCTTCTGATTTGAACCCAGAGTCCCTCTGCTTCCTGTTCTAGCCTCTCTCACTTTGGACTGTCATCCTTGGTAACTCAAGGAGGGAGTGTGGGCATGCTCGAGATGTGAGCAGCACTAGGGCATTTGAGTTGGGTCTCTTATAAGGGATCTAATCTGTTATGGGCTGGAATGTCCTTGGAATATTCATGGGTCCAGAGGTAGGTAATTTGCCTAATGGGCAGGGTTGAACATGCCTAGTGAGGGAAAGAGAAAATGTTTCTTTTTTAGAGGAAATTGACTTGGTAGGCAGATCATAAAGACTTCAGTTTGGTATGTTCAGGTTTGCAAGTATCCTGTTGTTTTACACCTGTCGTTTTGAACCCTGAGCATCCTGTACTTTGTAAGCACCTGTTATCCCGTACCTTCTGATTTGAACCCAGAGTCCCTCTGCTTCCTGTTCTAGCCTCTCTCACTTTGGACTGTCATCCTTGGTCAGAAGACCAGCATTTAATACCAACTGTGTCTCATATGATTGTGTGATAGGTCAGGATAACATTTCTGGGTAAAGACATTGATAAAACCATGACAGGCTGTAAAAATTCACTAAAGTGTGGGAAGTAAATCTAGCTCTAAAAGGTGAAGTTATTGTCTATAAGTTGTCCTTTCACCTAGTGCAAGGTTGGCAACCTCTTTCTGTGAAGAACCCAGATAATAAATATTTCAGCCTTTTCAGGTAATTTGTCTATAAGTTGTCCTTTCACCTAGTGCAAGGTTGGCAACCTCTTTCTGTGAAGAACCCAGATAATAAATATTTCAGCCTTTTCAGGTAATATGGCCTCTATCACAGCTCCTCAGTTCTGCCACTGCAGTGCAAAAGCCACCACAGAGAATAAATGAACGTGAGTGGCTGTGTTGCAATAAAACTTTACAAAAACAGATGGTGGGCCAGATTTGGCCCTTAGGCCAGAGTTATGCCAGTTCTTGACCTAATACAATAAAGTATGGATTTAGGCACTTAGAATATCATCTCATATTAAAGCTCACTAGACTCTAAACTCCACGAGAACAGGAACTGCTTGTTTGTGTTCATCACTGAATCTCCAAGAGTTTAGAGTTTTCCACTTTTTCCACCTTTTTCTAAGTTCAGAGCAGTGCCTGAAACTTAATAACTGAATAAAAAAATAAGATGGATATCTTTTTGATCTACAACTCCTATAAGGTATAAAGCCCCGGTAACAGTTTATACCTTATACCCATTCTTTTTAACACCTGTTTTAACACTACAGACAACTGTTGTGAAGAGTCTTACTTTTTTTCCTCTCAGCAAAAGATCAGTGATCAGTACCACAGCAATTAAAAAAGGAAATGCACCTAATCTGAATATTGTTATTTATGCCCAAGCTCATAGAAAAATGTTAAGGCCCATAGGAGTAAACATCATAAATTATTGTGATTTATTAGAAACAAAGCAAATATGAATGATTTCCACAGTAGGTCTCTAAAAAGAAGTATTAAAGGCACAATACCCTTTGGACCCTGTCAAACTTGTACACAAACACAGTGCTTAATCTATCATTTTAATTGAAACATAAATCATTAAACATGTCCTCTTTTTAGGACATCCTCTGCCTTTTCATTCTTTATATTCTTTCTTAGAAATGCTTTTTTCTAGGTATGGTGTATTTTAGGTTAATAAACATATCCAGAGATGGCATTTGAAAGCTGGACTGATTCCAAAGGCTAATGTTGTCCCTGAATAGAGACATCATTCGATGACAATTCCAACATGGTGGGTATGTTGATCTGTAGGGGAAGACATGAGGCTTTCTACACTATTATCTATGAAAGGCTTTTGAAAGAATAAAAATGTGTAGAAAACAATGGAAAAGTAGAGTTTAATGTGGGTTTGTTTGCTTTTCTAAGAATTTTTCAATTATATATAATTCTACTCAAGTGTATTTTCATTTCAGAATTTCAGATTATAGAAAAAACATACTTAAAGTCACAAATTTTAAGAAAAATGATTAAATTTTAACATGAAAAATAAGGTAAATGTTAATTGAGAAAAACTTAATATAGCTTCTATGTAAACCTAGCCCAAGAATATTAAAATATAGATGAGTTTTCATTTCTATTTATTTACATATCAAAAAATTAATACATGCTTATTATGTTGAAGTCTTTTCTTCTGTTTGGATCTGAGAAGGCCACAAAGATGCATTTGAAGATATCCCCACATTGCAAGTGGTTGCCACATAGTTCAGGAAATAGACCACATACAAATTACCTGGGAAAGTAAGTCAGAATGGATGAGATAAGAAGGAAGCAGCTATGCTTAAAGTGACTGGACATGGGCCAAGAGTAAAGAGGCCAAGCTTCAAGGTTTCAGGTTGGACTGTTGTTATTATGAAGAGGAAGATCCTATTTCAAATTCAATCTGAAAACATGGTTAATGGTGAAGAGCCCCCATGGCACACTGGCCAAACGAGCAAGGCAGCTGGAGAGACTACCGTGAGGCATTGTTGTCAAAGGAGAATGGCAACAAAAATACTAATTCCTGGGTTGGAAAGAGAATTCAAGGGGGTTGCCTTCCCTTTTTCCTGGTGTATTTTTATCTGCCTTGTAATAAAACCAAACATAATATAGTATTTTCTACAGGTGGCACCATGTAGACCATTTTCTGACAAACATCTGCATCACACTTAGAGACAAATCCACCCCACCCTGAGGGTGACTGGAGAAAATGGAAATCAAAGAGCAGCAGCTGGGCTTTTGACTGAAGTTTTAAACAAAGTAGTAAATAACACCTAGAGTTAACCTCTATCTTAAAACTGCATTTAGTGGCCAGACTTAGAAAGTTCTAGCTAAATTTGTAAAAGCCTTGAGCATTGCCTAAGCTGCTCGTTCAAAGCTTGGGAGTACGCAGTCTTAAGGAGTCTGCAGAAAACAGTCCATATATCCTAATCTTTACTAGCCAGAAAGAAGGGATGTAATTTATAATTTTTTCTCAGAGTTCAAATATTACATAATTAAAACAGCCTTTGATTCCAAAAGTTCTAAAACTGCTAGTCATAAGGTTTGGTGGTGACCCTTTAGTTTAAGGTCTTTTCAAAACCTTATTGTGTGGATCACCAACCAGGTAGGTGCAGAAGAAGACTATTACAGTGGACTTGAAAATGTTCACTTAAGACCAGAATGGGGATTTTCTTAGTATAATAACAGAAAATCCAAATACGCATAGGATCTGAATATTACTTGAACTTAGAGCAGGCTGTGTGCTGGTTTGCAGTGCCCTGAATGACAGAGGTACATTTCTATATGGTTTTTGGTGATAATGCAAAATATTACTGAATGCAGTCATGCTGAAGAAACTGATTTTATTTCTTTTTGGCTGAAGTTAATGTACCTATTCTGTTTCTTAAATACCACTTTTGGGCATTTTGTGCAAGCACAAGACTAGAAAGATAATAAAAACCAAATGAGAGCTTGGCACCTTTCTCAGAGTGTAATGAAACCAGAGTAATTGAGAAAGTCAGCAAATCACAGTTATCAATCAAATGGTGAAGGTGGTGGGTACAGATGCCAGGGCTGATTTGCTGTTGTGTTCTAGAAAAACTGTTTTGTTTTTGCTCTTGATTATTTTTGTTGGTGTTTGCCTTGTTTTTGAAAGCAGAACAATATACATCATCCCACTAGGTCA